GTGTTCACATACAGTGTTTCTTGGGGTGGAAGCAACCTGGCGCTAATTATATGAGCACTTCTGTGAAGAGTTTATTATTACTATGCTATAAAAGCTTTAAAAAAAACCTCCTCCATCACTATTTACAGTGCTAGTATTGTAAATTCTGCCCAATGTTGAAAATACTGTGTGTACAGTGTTTTGTACTGAGGTTTGAAGTATAACCGATCTTCTTGGTATTTGTGTAGAAAACAGATGCTGAGAGTCCAAAAAAAACACAGACTGTGGACAGAGGCCTGTATTGAGGCCATAGACACAATAAGAAGTGGGGTCTGTTTACTGATCATTAGAAAGAATGTAGGTTTAGGGCACTCCGATGCTAACTCTGAAGTTTCCCCTCAGTTCTCCAGAGTGTTTTAGACGTCCTTATCCTTGTTTTAGTTCTAGGGAGCACAGTTCCAGTCCCTCATCGCTATCATAACCTTTTCAATCGTAGCAGGCAGCTATAACCGAAAACTAAAAGCTACATTTATCCAAACAACAAAGTTACCAGGCAATGAACACCCGGAGGCATTCAGAGCTGTAAAGCTTGAATCAATTTCTCAAGTCTCTAAAAAACATGTCTGACATTATTGTAACAACTTTATATGGTGTTATTCTGAAGATGATGGATGGATGTTTTTAAATTCAGGAATCAAGTGGTCAAAACTAAAATAGATAATGCAGCTTTTATACTCTAATCTGTTCATTTTGAACACCTAAAGAATGATGTGTGACTACTTTGAGAAGGCAAACCTTGACTTTTTTTAAGCAACGTTTGCCAATTATAAATATCCAGAATATTACAAGGATGAATTATATATCATCCTTGTAATATATATTAGAGTAAAATGACAAAATGCAGACTGTAAAACTTTGTTATTTGTAATTTTCATTGTAGAGGATGTGTTAATGGCTCTTATTGGGTTTCTCCACAGACAAGCATTCAGAATATCCAGAAGCTACTTCAGCATGGTGCTCCTGGATGAGCTCGGTCTGGACCGAGAGCGCTTCATTTCCCCCGTGGGTTCAGATGAGCTGTTCTCCTACATCGACAGTTTCCTGCTGGACGAAGAGGAACGGGAGAAACTGGAGCTCCGCAGCGATTTCTGTGACTAATTTAATAAACCTCCGTCGTTGCCACAGCAATGCACTCATCAGTATTACTAACACACAGTGAGTAAGGACGAGCAACCAGAAACCAGGTTCAGAGGAACATTTGAAGCGGGAAAAAAACAGACAAGACAGCAGTTCCTTGTTTTTAAAATGTGATTATACAACACTGAAGCGCAAGCACTGTTTGCTCTGGATTAAATCATCAGCCAAAGGGGCGCTGACAGCATTTGCCATAGAAAATCTAGCATCATTAGAAGTAAAACACACCAGCAAATATGTGTATATATATACACATATAGAAATGTAGATATTCTTTATTATCAAAGAAAATTCCCAGCTGGACTCAGATGTAACCAAATTCCTTCTAGAAGCATCTTTCACCAGTCTGAAGCAGTATATAAATCAACTTTAATTCAATAGGATATAAACTTGCATGCATAACAAGTCAGATCTGATAAATATAATCTACTGCCAACTTTGCTCTAAAGGTTATAAAAGCTTTATCTCCTAAAAGTTATATTTTTTACCAACATTTAAAAAAAGGGGAAAAACGTGTAGCGTGTGCGAGAGCATTGAGGTAAACAGTGTTACCAAAGATAAAATGTTCTTTATTGAAAAACTTCTCATGCAAGTTATGCAAATAGTAATGTAAATGCACTGGTGTGGATTAAATAAAGCAGGATTTCTTAGAAGCGACAGCTGAAATACTGCATAACCAGTTTCGAATTGTTTTCCCACACCAGTATACATCTCGACACAAATAAAGAAAACTGTGAGAAACTGCCAAGTGCTGTGCATGATTTTGAATAGCTATAATATATATACAGTTTGAATTTTTTAAAAAGTGACTGCTTTAACAAAATAAATTTGTTGTGGTGATGCTTTGGCACGCTTCCAAAAGGTTAACACCCATCTGCAGTTTGGGGGCCGTGTTAAAGATGACCCCTGTGCAGAGAGAGCAGGTGTGAGCAGCCGTGAAGTGTCACGACAACAAACTGGGTGAGCGCTCACTTCAAGAGACCGGCCTGCTCTGGTGTGACAAGCTTGAGAAAATAAAATTAATCCACAATCCCATGTTAGTCTCACAGGACACAGCTTCTCATCATCTCAGGCGTGTGCTGTCCTCATTCGCCCTTCGCCTTCCCCATAGTGGAACGCAGTGTAAGAGTGCCCTCTGCCCATGAGTCCGGGTACTGCATCATCTTCTGCCAGAGACTAATCTCCTCTCCAACCGAGTCCAGCTCCACCTCCTCTTTGCCCACCTTTACTGTGCCTGCAGGGTTAAGATTGCACAGTCAGTGCAGAATCTGTTTTTCCTCATTAATAATGGTAAATTCAACAGTTTTTTCTCAAAGATGCTTAATTTTTGTATTTTAGTTTAATTGTAAAACCCATTACATTGGCATGAATTTCAATTCAAGTCATCTTTACTCCACTGTGACATATTGCTTGCTTTTAGGCTGACCAAATGTTAACAAACTAAATGTAGAGCAAATATATTTTATATGAATGCAAATTTCCCAAACCCCTTGCTACTAAATATAGCACAAGGAAGCTAAAGCTTAGTCTTAAGGATCATTTTTCCAGTTGTGTACATTCTCCTTTTAATCACAATAACCTTCAAACTGTTATTTCTGTTGTTTTGTCTTTTAATCATTTGATTTTGCTGCAACAGCACATCTTTCTCCCATTACATTCCAGAAAGTTCTGCATAGCGTGTGATTGTGGTCAAATTTCCCAATGCTGGGTGTAGCTTGAACAAAGAGGGTAACATTTTACTTAGCAGGAGGAAGTAGCCTTACAATGAAAGCCAGACCTTAGAACAGTTTGTTTTACATTGTTGATTTCTGAAAACTGGAAGCAAAATTTGTATCTCAGTATGAGAAGTGAGGGGGACGAGAGATAAAAATGCTGTGCAGGCACATGTGGTCACTCCTGTCCGATTGCCCATAAATAATATCTGACAAATGAATTGGTGATGTTAACAGGTTATGTTTTCATGTTTTGTAAGATGATTGTTTTGTTTTATTAAATACTGACTCACACCCAGTGTTGGGGAGTAACGGAATACATGTTACGTATTACGTTACGTATTAGGTATTTAAAATACAAAATATGAGTAACTGTATTC